TTGTTTTTTTCACAAACACAAAAATAGGTAGATAAATAGTACTCAGGGTAGAATCCTTAGAGATCATAAGCTAACGTCTTCATTTCATGCAATTTCCTTTATCAGAGAAAGATGAGTTACAAACAGGTTGAAGTGACTTGCTCCAGATCACTTCACCTAGTAATGGAAAATACAGCTTAGATTTCTGGAGTTCCTGTTCTGTGTTCTTCCTCCTTGCCTTCAGCAAATATTTGTTGGAACTTCTTTCCTTTAATAAATATTAAATATTATTCTTCACAGTATTGCTTCCTGGGGTTGTGGCTGCCTAGCCAAGCTTCTTTCTCACATTTTTCAGCCTACCAGGAAGCTATGGGCCATTTTCCTTACTCTTTGTCACCTGCTAGGGAAGTGATATTTTGATTTTGGGTGCAAAAAGTTTTGGAGAAGTTAATTGATGATCCATCATTTCTTTCTGATATGTCTAATGTGTTCTTGTGGGCAAATAGTCACTTTTCAATTTAAATTTCATTTTAATGGAGTGAAAACAGTACCAATAGTAGAAGATTCTGAAGATGTAACTTTATTTCTTTCTTAGAAACACAGTGTTTTTAAGGTATCACACAGAAAGCATTGAAGACAGTTTTATGCCAACTTTATCACATAGTACTATAACATGTTTACATGACTATGTCCTACAAGACTCACCCACTGCTTGTAAGACGGTCTTATGGTTTGTGTTCATTTAATGAATCAAAGTATTAGTTTTGGGTCCTGTTTCTTTAGTTAGAAACTAGAGGCCTGATGCACCAAATTTGTGAAAGAGTAAGCCTTCCTTCCCCCCAGTTGCCAGCACTGGCTTCCGTCTGGCACCCAGGACCTGGGCTTCCTCGTAGCCCCGGCTTCATCAGGAAGGTCATCAAGAAGGACATCCAGTCTAATTAGCATATTATGCTTTTATTATTATAGATGAGTGTTTTCTGAGGTTGTGGTGATTGCCTTCTTTATGTTTTCTCCCCATTATGCCTGTAAAAAAAACCTATTTATTCAGTGATCCGCTTCTTCCTGGGTATGAATCTGATTTGTTTGCAGCCCATGTTAACTTTTGCAAAGAGGACCAACAGAATGATTACAACTTCTTCCTGGTATTATGTCACCAAAACCTTGCCTGTTTTATATATCGAAAAGTCTGACTTTTGGGAACTCCTTATGTGATATGAACAAAGGTAGAAGACTTATAACCATTACTGGTGAGGGCAGGTATGAAGCCATCCTGAGACAAAAGAAAATGCATTCCTGGGTCCAGGTGGAGTACCCTTTGATGATGTGCCTGGCCATCTGTTTCTGAGCACAAGAGTACAAGAATCTGATGAGCATCAGAAAGCACCTTACAATACCCCTGGCTGGTTAGCTCATTGGTTAAAGCATCATCCTGATACACCAAGGTTTTGGGTTCAATCCCCCAGCATGGCACATATAAATATGAACCAGTGAATGCCTAAATAAGAGATATTTCTCTCTCCAGGCATCATGTTTTTATTGAAAAATTGAGAGTAATTTCCGAAGTCACAAATCTCTGCAGGACATTTGCTCTTTCTGTTTGTTGCTTGGCTGGCCTTTCTTCCATGGACAGCAATTTCCTTTATCAGCAGGATCTCCTGCCTTACCCATCTGATGACCTTTATTTTTTGTTAATCCTCACCTGAGGATATTTTTTCTATTGATTTTTAAAATATACATATTTTATTGATTTTTCACAGAGAGGAAGGGAGAGGGATAGAGAGTTAGAAACATTGATCAGCTGCCTCTTGCACACCCCCTACTGGGGATGTGCCCGCAACCAATGTACAGGCCCTTGACCAGAATTGAACCTGGGACCCTTGAGTCAGCAGACAGATGCTCTATCCACTGAGCCAAACCGGTTTCAGCTCCATTGATTTTTAGAGAGTGGAAAGTTGGGGAAGAGACAGAAACATTGATGTGAGAGAGAGACACATTGATTGGTTGCCTCCCACACGCACTCCAATCTGGACCAGCGATCAAGTCTGCAACCAAGGTTGTGCTCTTGAAGGGAACCAAAACCAAGGCCCTTCAGTCTGAGAGCAGACACTGTACCCATTGGGCAAAACCAGCTAGGGCAAAGCCAATGAGTTATAACATCATGGATATGTATCTTCACATCTCTTTTGCAGTTGATGCAGAGTTATACAGTGAGTGATTCACATAGTGGTGAAAGAGTATAAAATTATCCTCTTCCACCATTCTCCAGTTTTCATGCAGGGAGAAGAAAAACTTACCTCTAATTTTACTATTTAGAATCATGTCATAACTTCCTTATTCTATTCAAGTTACATGGGGAAAGACACCTTCTTTCCTGCTGGATATGAATGAGGAAGGATGTAGTCCTCTAAGAACTGCCAAACACATGGAAACGGAACTGAGGGCCAGGGAAACCTTGTTCTGTTAACATTATTTGAGCTATATGTGAACTTACACTATCCCTGGACTGTACAGTTATATGAGTCAGTAACATTTCCTTAATGTTGGAGTTGACTTTTCTCTGGCCTGAGAGGTTGGCAGCCTTTATTAGATAGTAACTGTCTCCTGTTGTATCTTGGGGCTCAGACCTGGATGAAGCACCGGGGACCTGGCAGGTAGTTTTAAAAGCATAGGTTCTGCAGCATGCTGGCTTCAGCCCTCAGTAAGCTTCTAGAAAAACAGAGATTGGCCTTGGGCTGTCAGGACCTTGGTACTTTTCAGGAACATGGAGCAGTTATTTTGTACCATGTCCCCCAATATGTGCCTTCATTATTTGGCTCAGGTTACTTATTTTTGTGGGGGTGGGGGAGGGGATAGCTGAAAAAGTGATGCTGTGTTTTCATTGTATCTTATTTAGGTAGCATGTGAATTGTTTGTTCCACAATTGGTGATGTTCACGTTGATCACTTAATGAAGGTCATGTCTATCAGACCTCCCCACTATGACAGCTACTAGTCATGTCCCCCCCCCTCTTCTTGTCTTTTGTGCCCTGGCCAGTGTAGCTTAGTTGGTTGGAGCATTGTCACCCAGGGCTCCTAGGTTTGATTCCTGGTCAAGTCACATACTCAGGTTTTGGGTTTGATCCCCAGATAGTATGGGAAGCAACTGATCAATATTTCTCTCTTTCTCCTCCTCTTCTCTCTAAAATCAATAAGCATGTCTTTGGGTAGAGGGTATATATATATATTAAAAAAAAGACATTTAACTGTTTTACATCCTATATGCATAGCATTCTAATAAATCACTTAGTGTAAACTCTGGTGTTGAAGTATTTCTGCCCTACAAAAATTAGGGGGAACCATCAGGTCCACAGGGGCTCAAAAGAATATATTAAGGCCGAGACTGGTTTGGCTCAATGGATAGAGCGTCGGCTTGGGGACTGAAGGGTCCCGGGTTTGATTCCGGTCAAGGGCATGTACCTTGCTTGCGGGCATATCCCCAATGGGGGGTGTGCAAGAAGCAGCTGATCGATGACTCTCTCTCATCGATGTTTCTAACTCTCTATCTCTCTCCCTTCCTCTCTGTACAAAATCAATAAAATATATATTTTTAAAAAGGTTCTTTCTCTCTCTAAAAAAAAAAAATGAATATATTAAGTTTAAAAACTCTTATTGTTGCCTTGGCCAACGCTGCTCAGTGGTTAGAACATCAGCCCTGGCACAAAAGGGTCTTGGGTTTGATTTCCATAGGTCAATGTTTCTCTCTCTCTTTCTCTCTCTCCCTCTCCCTTCAACTCAATATATATAACTCGATGGGAAAATATTCTTGGATGAGTATTAACAAAACAAACAAACAAACAAACAAAAAACCACAAAAAAACTCGAATTACTCAAGCCTGTGAAAGGCTGGCTTTCTTTCTTCCTCACTGAATAATCTGTATACACAGAAAAATACTCTCGCACTCTTGTGTTTTATTTTTTTTATTTTTATTTTTTAAAGATATATTTTATTGATTTTGTACAGAGAGGAAAGGAGAGAGATAGTTAGAAACATCGATGAGAGTCATCAATCAGCTGCCTCTTGCACACCCCCTATTGGGGATATGCCCAGAGCCAAGGTACATGCCCTTGACCGGAATCAAACCCGGGACCTTTCAGTCCCCAAGCCGATGCTCTATCCATCGAGCCAAACCGGTTTCGGCTCTTGTGTTTTATTTTTTCTCCTGTCTTCTATAACTCTTCAGGCATACTAAAACTCGGGCATTAAAGACACCTGCTCATCCCCTCTCCAAGCCCAGGAAAGAAATGCAAGCTTTTATTTGCTCAAGGAGAAGAAAAAACACAAGAAGATCATGAGCATGGGACCGACTCGGGAGTCTCGTTTCCTTCTTCCCATCAGCAGACTGGTTCGGACCCCTCCGCCGAACACATCCCTAGCCTCCGGGGACCGCCGCAGGTCGCACAGTCAGCCTTCACGCTCTTCACCGCTCTGCTAAGGACACGTGTTCTTCCCGCAAAGCACAACAGCCTCCCCGGAGCTCCGCCCCACCCGCATGCCCCGCCCCGCCCACCTCACCGATGCCCAATCGCGCCGCGATGCGTAGCACGGCCACGCCCCTCAGGCTCCTGCCGGCCGCCTTTGTTCTCCCCCGCTCGCTCTCTAAGCCTGTGCGCTCCCGGCAAACCGAGTGGCAGCTGCTGATTGGCGGTCCCGGCGCAGCCAATCAGAAGGGGGCACCTCACGTTAGGGCTCCGAGCTTTAAACGCCGGAGCCCCCTCTCGGCGCGCGGAGGAAGCTGGGGCGGAGCGCGGGCGTGGAGGGCGGCGCCGGGAGCTGGGACGCGCAGCGAGGCGCTCGCGGCCCGCGCCCCTGGTCGCGCTGGGATTGGCCGGCTCGCGCCCCGAGCCAATCTCCCGCGAGGACTCCGTGGGCGGGGAGGGGGCAGTTTCTTCTCGACCCTCGCGTCTCGCCCGCCAGGCCGGAGCCCCAGGTCCGGGACCGCTCAGCTGCTACCTGTGCCGGGAGCCCGCGCTCACGCCGCCGCGATGAGGCTCCGGAGAGCCTGCCTGCTGGTCCTCCTCCTGGCGCTGGTGCAGCTGCTGGCCGCGGCGAGCGCCGGGGGCCCGGACGCAGGTGAGCCGGGCCTGCGGGCTCAAGAGCGCGTCTCGCGCGCGATCCGGGGTGGGTGCGACCCGGAACCCGGCGGTGCCCCTCCGAGACGGCCGCCGGCGCCGGCAGGCTGGAGTCTAAAGGACGGTTGCGGGTGGCCAGCATCGCACGGGTCCCGGGATGGCAGGGCGGGGAAGGGGTCCGTCGGGGCTGCCGCCGAGGCTTGGACCGAAGTGTGTGTGGGGGGGAGTGCAAAGTGCCTTCTTTGCCATTGGTTTCCTCGTCCCGATTCTGCTCAGACTTTCCCCAGGTCCATGCTGCCGCGAAGGGGAGTTTGGGAATTGCTTAAACTGTCCAGGCGAACACGCCCAGGGACAGTGTGGAGGAGAGGGGGGCCAATGTTTTGCAAACAGGATTCAGAGAAGGCTGGGGCTTGAAGGCCCAAGTGGGAGCCCCGAGGAGTTGTGGGCAGCAAACATTTTACTTTTTTTTCCTTCTTCTTCTTTAATGTCTTTAAATTTGGAAACAAGTAACCTGAGGGTTCTGTTCTGGTTGATGGGAGAAATGGATAGCTTGGTTTGCATCTTTTTTTAAAAACCGGAGGTACTAGTCCCTCAGCGAACATTTATTCTGCACCTACTGTGTGCCAGTCACCCCGCTGGGCCTGGGAGTCAACGGTGAGGCCTGTGGCCCGTGCCCATGAATGAAACACCTCCTCTCGCAGGAACGATAGGCAGCCACTGGTCATCGGTCCTGCATTTTGCTTTGAAATCAGCGAACTCAGAAAACATGGCTAAGGGAACTTTGAAAATTAGAAAGTGCAATGCAAGCAAAGGGATCTACTCCTAGAGAACAGGGCGTCCCGTTACTGGTCTCAGCTTTCTTCCTCTCGTCTTTCTGCCCACGACTAGTTTTTTTTTTTTCTTCTTCTTTTCCTAGTGAGTTCGTTCCAATATAAATAACCCTTTTCTAAGATTAGTGTGTAAGGAAGTATGAACTTTAGACTTTCAAACAGATTGAGTAACTTCTCTGGGGTCACTGAATCAAGAAGCTCTACCCAAATAGCAGAAGCCGGTTTGGCTCAGTGGTAGAGCATCGGCCTTTGGACTGAAAGGTCCCAGGTTTGATTCCGGTCAGGGGCATGTACGTTGGTTGCAGGTACATCCCCGGTAGGGGGTGTGCAGGGGGCAGCTGGTCGATGATTCTCTCTCATTGACGTTTCTAGCTCTCTATCTCTCTCCCTGTGAAAAATCAATAAAATATATTTTTTTTAAAAAAGAAAAAAAGAATCTTTACCCGAATAGAAAAGGAAGTAAAAGCCAGCACCCGGTGAAAAACACCTGCCGAAAGGAACTGTGTAGCAGCGTAGCCTTACAAGTGTGACTTGGGACCTTTATCCAAATCACCTGGTGCTTATTTAAATAGAGCCCCAAAAATACACCAAAGCGGAAGTTGGGGTGAGGGCTGGGATCTGCATTTTTTTAAACACGTTCTTCGTGGACTCATAGCATTAACTTGGGGAGGTGCGTTGAAGTTTGAGGACCAGTGGGGATGGAGGGTACTTTTTGGAATGTATGTAGCTAAAAAGCAAATCCTTTGGACACCAAGGGCTACTGATGACCAGTTTATCATTTGGGTCACAGGTCCCTAATGCAGTGGAGGCTTGGGAAGCAGTTGCCTTTGGGGTGAGCCAGGGAGCTCTGAGTTGTCATGGCCAAGGCAGGTTCCCGGGCATCCTCTGCGGTGGAGTGGAGCTTCTAGCCCTCATCTGGACTCGCCCATCCCTATGGGGATCCCTGGCCCTTCACTTTCACAGATAACTTGTCCTGTGGATTTATTTTGGGGCCACACTTTCCTCCTCCCCAGATATTCCAGGTCTGCAGGGTTTTCAGTTTTGTGTGCTTTTCTTACATTTTAGATTCAAACAGCGCAGTGGTGTCTGGGTTCTAGATGCCCCCACCCCACCCCCGCCAAAATACAGTCACTAACGGAGCTTGAGCTCTGATGACTTAAGCCTCAGTTTGCGGCTCATGTCTCAAATTAGACGTCACTTCTACTCTTTTACGTCTTTCCAGCTATCAGAATGAAGATATTTTGATGCCTGCTTTTATTTGGGATGGGTTTAGATTTTAAGTTGAAAATCACAAGCATTAAAAAAGAACTCTTCAGCTGCCTCTCTCTTTTCATTCCTGAGAAGTTATCGTAAACCTTTGGGCTTATTGAGAAGGAAATCTAATGTGACAATATAGTACAGTAGTAGGTCAGGAGCCAGCACTGAGTAGCTTTGTGATCCTTGGGCAGGTGACCTGGGCTCTCTGTGCCTCAGTTTCTTCGTCTGCGAGTGCATGGAATGTGTTTCCCTCGAAGAGTGAGGGAATGTTTAAGAGCTCAGCACAGTCCTCTCAACCATAGCAGCTAGAATGTTACATCTGATAACAAGTTTCTCTTTTCCATGTTTCATATAAACCACTCAGTATTGACCTCATGGCAGAGTTTATCCAACTGTTACAGGGACATCTGGAGTGGGGATTGGAAGCAGCCCGCTGAGGAAGTTGATGAGGACATCCTGCAAGGAGCTGCTAGCATCCCAGCTGGGCAGGGACCCATTCTTAGCACCGCAAGTGCTGGTGGGAGTGGACAGGCGCTGCAGTGATCTGTTTAGAGGAGGGGCCCATTGTAGGCTTGGCCTCGCCACCTGGGCTCAGCACAATTGAGGCTGCATCGCCCCAGGCCTGAGGATGGCATGCTTCCAGAGATGCCGGAAGGCTTTGGGCGTATTTTTATCCATTGGGCTTAAAAGTGAAGCCCAATGAAGAGTGGTCTCCCCACTAAAAAGTAGGTGCTTTCTTTGTGGGGAAATGTGGGTTTCTAGTTGGTGGGAATATAGAGCCAGCACCTTCTCAAAGTGCAGGGGAATCAGTCCTTTATGAGTTGGGGAGGAATGGAAAGCATATTTTTAAAATCCAGGAAAGGAGTTCACTTAGCTCTGGCCCACGGTAACTCATGGATATGTACCCATTTAATCACGAGAGCCCCATCACTAGTGCTCACAGACCACTTCGGGCCCAGCATAAGTAAGGAGCATCTTTGCTTTTCCCTTTTGTAAAATTCACCTTATCCCTGTGAGTTGAGCAGATTACCAAGTCCCTCTTTCCTCCTTAGCTGTATTTCTTAGCTTGAAGAGCAGTCTTTCTTTCAACCTTCCTCCAGTGCTTTCTTTCAACCTTCCTCCAGTCTTCCCATTTGCCTGCAAGTAAATTTGATGCTCTGCAAGTAGGTCTGACTGGGCAGAGCAGCCAGGCAGAGAGAGTCTATATGCACGGCCCACAAGTCCTACCTCACTGCCCCCTGCAGGTCTGTCCACCCCACAGAGCTCCTGCCGTGGAGGAGGGAGGTGATAACGTGGCCAGGGGAGGGGATGTTGCAGAGCTGTGGTCCAGAGTGCAACATGTGAGCTAGGAGGAAAGCTGAAGACAGGGGAGGGAACTTGTCCCAAGAAACAGGGGAGTCTGCTTGGTTTGTATTTTCAAACAAAGGAAGGTTTCATGCTTTGATCTCACCCTCAGCACCAGACTTGGAAACTGTCTATCTTGGTTTATCTCCTGGGATGCATCTCCAAACACAAATAATTGGCCCCTTGAAATGTTATGGCTTCAGAGTTAATGAAGCCCTCGTGCTTGATTCAAGTGCACTTGCTGGTGTGACTGAAGCTGGAGAACCTGAATAATAAGAACTGCAATTGGTCCCACAATGCCAATTTGTATCTGTAGTTCAGCAAAAAAGTTAACTGGACCTTGAAATGAGATGTACTTGGATTCTGTGTTCTAGGCAGGAAGCACTTAGGTGAAAGTTAATGCCCTGGAGCACAAACTAGAAGAAACCCTAAAATGAGGTGTTCCTAAAAGGCAAAGCAGAGGAGCCATGGGCTAGAGAGACTGCAGGGGGTTGCTGAGGGTTAGTGAGTTAGATCTCAGTACAGAACAGCAGGGGGCTGATGTTGCAGTCTCTTCAGGTGGGAGGCGTGCAGAGCAAGGGGTGCTAGCTCTGAGGATGGGGCGGTCCAGCTGGGGTATTTAGCCTTTAACTTCTAGGTCTGGTTTTCAGGCATTTTACTTAACTACTAGAGGCCTGATGCACAAAATTCGTGCAAGAGTAGACCTTCCTTCCCCCCGTTGCCAGCACTGGCTTCCTTCCAGCACCTAGGTCCCAGGCTTCCCTCCATCCTGGGCCTGGGTCTCCCTCTGCCAGGCCCCAGCCAATCGCGTTGCATCTGCCTGGGCTGGCCTGGCGTTAGTAGGTGTCATAGCGTGGTCCCAGGTGTCATCCCAATGGTCATTCCATTGTTCGGCTGTTTGGTCGATTTGCATATTATGCTTTTATTATATAGAATGGCCTCCCTTTAAATTAAATCTTAAGCAGCCACCCAGTATGCAAACTCAGAGCAGAATTTCTGGGTGGAAAGTCATCATGTCACCACCCCATCTGGTGGGAGTTCCCAGAGACTACTCCGGACTCGCGACACATTTTGAAGGATTTGGGTTTCCAGGAAAAATTTTAAAGAGGAGAGTCACCAGTTTTCTAACCATTCTGGATATTTCCTGTTCAGATTCTAATAAAGAAGAAGCTTTTGAAGAGGAAGATGAAGAGGAGGAGGAGGAAGAGGAAGAGGAGGAAGATGACTTGGAAGTTAAGGAAGAAAATGGTGTCTTAGTCCTAAGTGACGCAAACTTTGATAACTTTGTGGCTGACAAAGACACGGTGCTGCTGGAGTTCTACGCTCCATGGTAAGGACCCACATTCTGGTTTCTTTAGGGTGGGTGTGAGATTCCTCTGCTCCCGTGCCTGGCCCTGGCAGGGCGGGAGTGGCTGGGTACAGGAATGCCAGCCCTTGGTTCAGGATCACCAGGACCTCCGAATTCTGCCAGTTTGCACCGCACATCCCATGAGCACTGAGCCCTTATAGAATATAAGGGGTTTCAGATATGAACCTGTCCTCTGATAGTTACAGCCAGGGAAGGTGGGGAGGGGTGGATGTTTAACAAACTGATGATGATATGGAAACCTGTGTTGGTGACAGACATCTGACCCATGTCAAGGCCACCTACCTCCCTCCTGCCCGTGGTCAGGCCGGCTCCCATGTGTAGGCCTGACACAGCCCTGGGGAAGGCAGAGAAGGTGCCCACTCCCTTTCCTGTCTTTCACCCTCTCACTGCAGTATGTTACCAATCTTGTATGCCTCCACCCATCTCTCTTTTCTGTTATCTCGTAATCTCTTCTTTCCTCTGTTACCCACCCTCCTCGGTTCACTTTGAAAACATAATAGTCAAAATGTACATGTATGTCTGGTACTTGGTGTTCGAGTATAGTATAGGTATTTTGTATAAAAATTTCAACAGTTCTATGAACAGATCTGTGAGGTTTTAATCCTATTTTATAGATCAGCAGTTCTCAAACTAATTTTTAAATTTTTATTTATTTGAGAGAGAAAGAAAAAACCCCACATTGACTTGTTGTTTCACTTATTTATGCATTCATCTGTTGATTCTTGCATGTGCCCTGACTGGGAATCAAACCCACAGGCAACCTTGGTGTGTTGGGATGATTCTCTAACCAGCTGACCTACCTGGCCAAGGCAGTGCTCAAACTTTAGTCTTGGGAATGATTCACATAGCACTTAAAATTTGAGGACCCCCAAATAGTTTGCATGTGGGTCATGTTTATCGTATTTACCATATTAGGAATTAAAACAGAAATTTAAAAGTTACTCATTTTTACCCAGCTGATGTGGTTCAGTAGTTGAGCATAGACCCAAGAACCCAAGAGGGCACGGTTCGATTCCCGGTCAGGGCACATGCCTGGGTTGTAGGCTTGATTACAGTGGGAGGCGTGCAGGATATTTCTTTCTCATCAATGCTTTTAATTCTCTATTCCTCTCCCTTCCACTATCTCTTAAAGTTAATAAAAACATACTTTAAAATAAACAAAAAGTACTCATTTTTAAGTAACAGTAACCCATTGCATGATAACATCCAAATGCTGTTACCATTGTCAGTCACTGGAGAATTCCACAATATACTTCTGAGAGAATGAGTGAAAACAACAAAAAATGTTTATGTAAAGAGTTTCACTCATAGGCCTCTTGCAAAAGGTCTCTGGACCAAATTTTGAGAACCTTATAAATGAAAATATAAGGTTTAGATACATTACAGTCTGTACCTAAAGCAGAGCTGGAAGCTGAAAATTGATCTGTTTGACTTCCAGCCAGCTTGGCCTCCCCATGATATTCCATGTGTCTCCTCTTGACTGCAGATTTTCCCCGCCCTAATGCCCCAATTTTGTGTGCATTGCTGGAGTTAAGCTTCCAGAGGTACAATCATCTTGCTCATCTTTCCCCAAACCTTCTTAGGTGTGGACATTGCAAGCAGTTTGCTCCAGAATATGAAAAAATTGCCAGTACCTTGAAGGAGAATGACCCTCCCATTCCTGTCGCTAAGATTGACGCAACCTCAGAGTCAGCACTGGCCAGCAGGTTTGATGTGAGCGGCTACCCCACTATCAAGATCCTCAAGAAGGGGCAGGCTGTTGACTACGAAGGTTCCAGGACCCAGGACGGTGAGTGGTACCTGAGCTGCAGGAGGAAGCCAAGGAGGAGATTGAGTAATAGGAAGGAAGGCAAGCCCCAGCTGGTCTGACTCGCTACATAGTGTCAGCCTGTGAACTGCGGGGTCCCAGATTCAATTCCAGTCAAGGGCACATGCCTGGGTTTCGAGCTTGATCCCCAGTAGGGGGCATGCAGGAGGCAGCCAATCAGTGATTCTCATCATTGCTGTGTCTATCTCTCCCTCTCCCTCTCCCTTCCTCTCTGAAATCAATAAAAATAAAAAAGTAAGGAAGACAAGTTGGGAGGACCCCTCAGAGCACCAGCTTCTGGGAGTGATCCTTTCTGGTATATTTGAGCTAACCAAGATCAAAATAAACTTGTACTTGGGTGGGAGTGGTATCTTCCAATTTCAGACCATGAAACAAGATCTGGGGTAGATGTGTTAATTAATGACATAAGATTAACTGTAATTGAAATTTTTTTGTTTTGTTAATCCTCACCCCCGGATATTTTTCCTATTGATTTTTTTTGAGAGAGAAGTAGGGAGGGTTAGAGACAGAAACATTGATTGAGACACTTTGGTTGTCTCTTGCATGTGCCCTGACCAGGGCTGGAGATTGAGCCTGCAATCAAAGTACATGCCCTTGACCAAAATTGAACTGGGACACTCTATCCACTGAGCCAAACCAGCTAGGGCAGAAATTTTTTTTTTTTTTTTTACAAGAAATATACAAGAGATAGAGTATGACAACATGCAACACAACAATAGCTGTCCTGTGTAAATGAATCAAAATATTGCCTTTTTTTTTTTTTTTTTTTTTTTATCAGAGCAGCAAAAAATAATTTTGGGGTATGCTGCAGCATTTTAGTAATTAGTCTCTGTGTGCCATGAGATGACAGATTGAAGATCACTGTCCTAGAGCAGTGGTTCTCAGTGTTCATCTTGTATCAGAATCACCAAAACGGGAGGGGCGATCATTTAAGACAGACACAGAGCCCCATCTCCATAGTTCCCTAACTCAGTAAGTTTCAGATCAGACTTAATAATTTGCATTTCCCAGGGGTTGCTGAGGCCTCAGGCCCAGACTGCACATTGGGAACCATGATGTGGGGAGCCAGGAGGGTCTCTTAAACCAGGCCTGTGCATCCATCCCAGCCTGCTCACATTAGGCACTAAATAAATTTTATTACATGAATGAACAAATAAAATCATGGTACCCTTTAGGAAGAGCATATTTCTTTTAAACGATTTATTTTTTTTCTTTATATTTTATTGAATTTTTACAGAGAGAAAGGGAAAAAAGAGAGAGAGAGAGTCAGAAACATCGATGAGAGAGAAGCATCGATCAGCTGCCTCCTGTACACCCTGCACTGGGGATGTGCCTGCAACCAAGGCACATGCCCTTGACTGGAATCGAACCTGGGACCCTTGAGTCTGCAGGCCAACGCTTTATCCACTGAGCCAAACTGGCTAGGGCTCTTTTAATCGATTTAATAAACACCCATGCTCCATTGTTCATTCCCAGGGCTAATAGCACTGGATAAGGTTTGGGTCTTAGTCATGCAATAGCCCTGTGTCCTAGACAAGTGCCTTCCCCTTCTCAGACCTGGATTCTACATCAAGGAGAGGAAGTCACTGGGACTGGGTCTCAAGGTTCCCTTCATCACAGGTGATGCCAATGCAGCCTGAGCATTTGGGAGCCGCTACTCTCCGTTTTCCTCAATGTTTTGTGATGCCGTAAAGTGTTAGTGCTAGGCGTGTACATGTTAAGGGGATGCCCCCAAAACTGTTGACCAGCCCTGGGAGGTGACTTCTCAGTGTTAACTTGCAATTAGTACTGTAGTCTGATAAGGATAGAGTCTCATTTGTCAGGCTGGCTTTGGGAAATCTGCCTGTGCTCAGTCTTGTTGGGTTTCTTTCAGAAATTATTGCCAAGGTCAAAGAAATCTCCCAGCCCAATTGGACGCCTCCACCAGAAGTCACACTTGTGCTGACCAACGATAACTTCGATGAAGTGGTGAACGATGCAGACATCATTCTGGTGGAGTTTTATGCCCCCTGGTAAGATAACGTTGGTCTCATGTTATTCAGAGATTCATTAGGCCCATCCTGTATTGGGTACCCTGCCAGCACTGGGCAGGGTGGCAGAGATGGCCTAAGAGATGGCCTGAGTGCAGCAACCCCACCTCGCACCGAGGGCAACATGGAGCTGCTAAGTGTCCCGGAAAGGGGTGGCCTTTTATAGACTTCCTGGGGGTTATGATGAGGCTGAGCATCAGCCTAGGGTATGGGGGAAGCCCACATGACCCATATGAAAGGGCTTCCGGGTCCCTCAAGGCTGGAGGACACGGCTGAGCACCTGGCCCATGCTTATGTTCGTCACCACGCACCTACCCTGACCAGAGAGCATCTCTGAGGAAGCACGTGTGAAAGCATTTTGATAGCGTGTGGCTCTCTAGGCACTGAGAGCCATGACATCTTTCACCTCTGGTAGGGGATGGAGTGCTGTGCATGGAAGTTCACCAGCTGGGAGAGAGGAAAGAGCAGAGGTGAAGGTGGGGGTGGCATCTGGTGGCCTTGCTCTATTGCAGGTTGTCATCCCTGCCTCGCTGTCTCCCTCCTGAGGGTTGTATCTGTCTTTGTCTCTCCTCATGGCTGTTTGTTCCAGAGTGAATCTTGGAAGATGACTCTCAGCCTTGCTGCACACTCGACATGTGTCCCCTTCTCATGCTAAAGCCTTAGGGTTCCCACAGCTTTCCTGCCTGGTGTCCCCTCCCCTCACCCACCTTTATCGGCTCTTGTCCACTTCCTATTCATCCCTTGTGTCCCAGCTCAACTGTCACATCCTGTAAGAAGCCGCCTCTGATTTGTGTCCCTACCTGACTCAAATCTCCCTTCCTGGGACATTGTTTTGGCCTTTCCCACATCTTAATTCCATGTCATAGTTGCACTCTGGTGTGTGTGTGTGTGTGTGTGTGTGTGTGTATGCCTGTGTGTGTGTTTGTGTGCATCTGTGTGTTCATGTGTGTATGCCCCGGAGGAAGCCATGTCGAGCTGGCTCTGAGGGACCTGGCTCAGCGCCCTCGCCTGGAGACATTCAGAGGTTGGCTGGATCTCACTGAGTTGCTCAGGAATGAAGGCTGGGTTTTGCACATAGTATAACTGGGAGGCTGTGTCCATACCGGAACAGGCCCCTGACCGAACTGGCTTGCTCTGGCAGGTGTGGGCACTGCAAGAAGCTGGCCCCTGAGTACGAGAAGGCCGCCAAGGAGCTGAGCAAACGCTCTCCCCCAATCCCTCTGGCAAAGGTCGACGCCATCGCGGAAACAGACCTGGCCAAGCGGTTCGGTGTCTCCGGCTATCCCACCCTGAAGATCTTCCGCAAAGGAAAGCCTTTTGAATACAATGGCCCCAGGGAGAAATATGGTAGGACCCATCCTTCTCCAAGCTCATCGGGGTGGGGAAGCTCCCCGGTGAATGTGGGCGGTGGGCAGAGCGCCCTGGAGCTCCAGCCCCTCCTCAGGCAGGTGCTCTGCTCCCAGGGATCGTCGACTACATGATTGAGCAGTCCGGGCCGCCCTCCAAGGAGATTTTGGCCCTGAAGCAGGTCCAAGAGTTCCTGAAGGATGGAGATGATGTCGTCATCATCGGAGTCTTCAAGGCAGAGAGTGACCCGGCCTACCAGCTGTACCAGGATGCTGGTGAGTAGTGGCCCTCTGCACTGGACAGACTGCCGCCGGGGAGCGGGCTGTCTTTGCGTAACTGCCCTGGCCGTCGATCTAGGGGATAGCTTGATGGATTGCATAGCATCTATGGGGGCAGGCTTAGCTTTCCCACAGGTCAGCTTTGGAGGTCAGTTCTCTGTTGCCTTTAATTATGCATGGAGAGTATGTGGGGGCACAATGAAGTTCATCCAAGTTCATTGTCTACCTCCCTTCCAGGACCCCCTTCCCAAAGTCAGCCTCTCTGCAAGGGGTGGCTCTTCACCAGAAAGTGAGGGAATCAGACCTGGATTTGAGTCCTGGCTCTGCCATTGTTAGCTCTTGGCTGACTGCAGGCAGTGACCTGATCAACCTGGTGTTCTCCTGTCCACCATGGTGACCTTTCCTACTTCAAGGGATGTTACCTTAACTGCAATAATGTAGACGTAGTGCCAGCAAGTGCCTGGTAATAAGCATCCTTAAGTACTAGTCTTGCTAATGTGAGAAGTGAAGTTGTTATGACCAGCTGTCAGTAGTAGTGTTTTGTGGGAATGGGTACAGTTGTCTGCCCGTGTCTGGCTCCTACCCGGAGGCAGGTGTACTTGCCATCCAGGTTGGCCCTTAAGTTGTGAATGAAAGTTGGTTTATTCAGGGACACTCAGGATCTTCTCCAACCCCATCATTTCCTTCTGAATATCCTCTACCTTCTCCCTGCACTCACACCAAAAATGGCTCGTTTTTCTACTTTAGAGTACTGATTATCATCCTTTAAATGCACTGCTGCAATGTGCTGACTCCTGTAACAGTCAGACACATGTCAAATGCAGATTAATGGAGTACAACTTACAGTAGAGCTAAATTCCCCTCATGCTCCTTGGTCTTCGTTGATTAGGTAACCCTGTCATCCACTCCTAAATAATCAGGAAGAAACTTGCACAGGGAACTCTAGACCCAAGTCACATCTGTGTGTGTGTGTGTGTGTGTGTGTGTGTGTGTGTGCATGTGCATGTGCATGTGCGCACATGCTGCTGGGGGGAGAGATGTGGTGTCTGTAATCCTTCAGGCCTGGGGCAGTAGGCTGGCTGGTGGGTGGGCTAGGTGCTGCTCACGCTGCCAGTCCAGGCCCCACACTGCAAGTCAGACAGATGTGCCTCATGGGCTTGGCCTGGTTAGGCTGCAGGCAGAGGGGAGAGTCAGTCACTGGGCCTTCTATGCTGCCCATTTTTGTTCACTGGGCTGCGTGGAAGGAGCTAGGCAGCCCTAGGGATGCAGGGCAGTCTGTGGATAATGGGAGAAGGGGGTCTCAGTATGGGGGTGGCTAACCAAATTCTTGAGGCAATTTTGTCTCTTTGCTCACAGCCAGCTGCCAATATCTGGGGCACCGGGAGGCTTAGAACAGGGTGGGAGACTAACCTGCGAGTGGATGTGGGTGGGTTGCCTCACTGGTGCTCACAGCGATCTACGCGGTGGACTCCAGTTTCTACAGAGGATGGACCGAGGCTTGGGCAGGTGCACAATGAGCAGGTCTGGCGTCACACCTTTGGCAGACTGCACAATTGTGATTTGAATCTGGCTATGTCTGATTCTGAGAGCTATGGCATCTCCAAGCTGCCTCCCTGCCTCCCCCGAGTCATGTGATGTGCTAGGTGCCTTAGGTGAGGTGGGGGATGTCTAGGTTCTTCAGCCAGGACAGAACAGAGGTTCTGAGGTCTGGTCACCCAGATTGAGAGCAGGACTGACAAAGAGGCCTCACCTGGATTTGTGGTTTTATTGGAACACTGCTGCACTCACTTGCTCACACATTGTTTAGCTGTTTTCACACGTGAGCCTAGAATTGAGTGGTTGTGGCAATGTGGTCCCCAAGGCACAGGCGTTCACTGTCTGGTCCTTTCTGGAAAAAGTTCTTAAATATTCAGACAGCAGGCTTTAATATTGTGAGTTTGACAAGATTTAAATATACAGTTAGGGAACCACATTTAGGACCCCAGCCCACCAACAGCGCCCCCCCCCCCCCACACACACACACACACATTGAGGAGAGATTAGGCCCCCAAAAGGTGCTGCGTGTGCAAGCTCACCATGTGCGCACAGCAGTGTGCGATGCTTCCTGTCACCTCTGTGATCAATTGGAGTCAACCGGAACACCTGACAGATGAGCTCTAAGTTTTTCAGTTTGTTAAATTTTTTTTTAAAATCTATTTTATTGATTTTTTTACAGAGAGGAAGAGAGAGGGATAGAGACTTAGAAACATCGATGGGAGAGAAACATACATCAGCTGCCTCTCGCACACCCCCCACTGGGGATGTGCCCGCAACCAAGGTACATGCCCTTGACCGAAATCGAACCTGGGACCCTTCAGTCTGCAGGCCGACGCTCTATCCATTCAGCCACACCGGTTTTGGCTTGTTAAATTTTTTTTTATAAATTCTGAGATATAAGTTTTAAGGTATTAGGCCAGTACCAAGTTTCAAAATCCAACCTTTAACCTTGAGGAGCTGTCCACACAGAACTCAGGTGGTCATTACATTATTTTCAGGGCCTTTGCTTTGGTTGATGTGGGTCATGAATTAAAACTTGATTGTTGTTGTTGTTGTTGTTGTTGTGTGTGTGTATTTGTGTTTTAAATATATTTTATTGATTTTTTACAGAGAGAGAGAGTTAAAAACATTGGTGAGAAAAACATCAATTGGCTGCCTCCTGCACACACCCTACTGGGGATGTGCTTATAACCAAGGTACATGCCCTTGACTGGAATTGAACCTGGGACCCTTGGGTCTGCAGTCCAACGCTCTATCCACTGAGCTAAACCGGTTATGGCAAAACTTGATTTGTTTAAGCAATTTAATGAATTGTGTATTTATCATTCGGTTCATTTTTCAGCTAACAACCTGAGAGAAGATTACAAATTCCACCACACTTTCAACACTGAAATTGCAAAGTTCTTGAAAGTCTCCCCAGGGAAGTTGGTCATGATGCAGCCTGAGAAATTCCAGTCCAAATACGAGCCCAAGAGCAACATGATGGACATCCAGGTGGGTGAGGGCGCTCAGGCCTCGGCCCCTCTGAAGTGCCAGCCCCTGGGCATGCTATTGGCATGAGGATCCTGGTGGTGCCACCTCAGGGGTTTTGAAGGATAGAGATTTCGCTCCACCGAAGGCTCTGGATCCTGGAGCTCAGCCAGCAGGAAGGTTCCTGGTCAGGAGTTACACGAGGGACCCAGGCAGCTCTCACACACCCGGCAGGTGCAGCGCCCTGGCCCTGGCAGAGGTCCACCTCTCACTCCCCTCAGACCTCCCGGCAGCAGCCTCCCATAGGTGCCCCCCACTGAGGCTCCGGCCTGTGTGTCTGCCTTGCTCCAGGCCAGGACATGGTGCCTGGGGGCAATGGCAGGCCTCTCTGTTCACTTTGTGAAACTGTGCAGCGTAACTTGTGGATTTGGCCTTTCTTTCCTCTATTACCCCTACCCCCCACCTTCCTGAAGGATGTGACCTTCACCTCTAGAAGGGAGGGAGGTCCCAGCTCAGCGGGGTGAGTGCTCCAGGGAGCAGATCTTCAGGCTTGGAAGAGACCTTTGATCTTGAACCCGAAGCTTTTGTGTTCCTAGAGAGACTGGATGCAGCGAAGTGAGCTGTCTCACCCAGGGTCCCACGGCCAGTTAGAAGCAGTTGAGGGAGAACGCAGCTGTTCTTCCTGGACCAGGCTGCACCCTGGGGCCGTGACCCTCACCACTTGGGCTGAGGACTCCGCTGGGCCCTGGAGGATGTGCTGTGGGACCGAGTCCCCTGGACGTGTTTTGCAGGGGCAGCCATGCCCTTCTGGTCTTTTTATGAACTAGGAGCAGGGCCTTGGAGACAGCCCTGATTCTGACTCCCATTGCTCCTCTGGAAGTCTCACATCCAAAGAGGGGCCCTGATGACCGTGGAGCAGTGACCTCTGGAGTTGGGCTCAGCCTATGGTGTTCGTGTTCCCAGGAAAGGAGTCTGTAGCTTTTGGCAGATTCCTGAAGAGGCCCTTGACCTCAGAGGGGTTAAGGTCCTCGCAGTCCAGTCTGGTGTATGTATCACTGCCACTTTTGTCTTTTGCCTGCGTTTTTAAATTTTAAATGGATTGGTATTCATATACCACCTTTGTTCCAAAAGTTACATAAGGCTACTTTGTAAAAATTCACACAATATAATGAAAAGCAATGTTTTTGTTTTGTTTTTTTAATATATTTTATTGATTTTTTTTACAGAGAGGAAGGGAGAGGGATAGAGAGCTAGAAATGTCGGTGAGAGAGAAACATCGATCAGCTGCCTCCTGCACACCCCCAACTGGGGATGTGCCCGCTACCAAGGTACATGCCCTTGACCGGAATCAAACCCAGGACCCTTCAGTCCACACACCGATGCTCTATCCACTGAGCCAAACCAGTTTCGGCAAAGCAGTATTTTTTAATATATATATTTTTTATTGATTTTATACAGAGAGGAAGGGAGAGAGATAGAGAGTTAGAAACATCGATGAGAGAGAGTCATCGATCGGCTGCCTCTTGCACACCCCCCACTGGGAATGGGCCTTCAACCAAGGTACATGCCCTTGACCGGAATCGAACCCGGGACCCTTCAGTCCCCAAGCCGACGCTCTATCCACTGAGCCAAACCGGTCCCGGCAAAGCAGTATTTTTAAAAAGTGGATTTAGAAATCAGGACAAAGGAAAGTCAAGGGCAGGACAGATAAGGTGAAGCGGGAGAGAACAGCTTGTCTGCTCTGAAAAGAGATCAGTCACATTGAGGCTCAGCTTCGGGTGTGTGCTCAACTCTGGCAAGTTCGCCTGCTGTCACTGCTGCTTTACTCTCCCTCTCCCTTTCTCCCTCCCTCTCTCTCTTTTTTTTTTTTTTTTTTTTTTATCAAAGTGGTGTTTTTTAAATATATATATATATTTTTTTTTATTTCCGAGAGGAAATAGAGACAGAGATAGAAACATCAATGATGAGAGACGATCATTAATTGGCTGCCTCCTGCACACTCTCTACTGGGGATTGAGTCTGCAACCTGGGCATGTGCCCTTGACGGGAATTGAACCCAGGACCCTCAGACCACAAGCCAATGCTCTATCCACTGAGCCAAACCAGCTAGGGCTTTAAAAAAAAAAATTTTTTTTTTTTTAGTTATTTTTAGAGAAAGAGATGGAGAGAGAAACATTGATCTGAGAGAAAATCAATTGGTTGCCTCCCATACATACCCCAACTGGGAACCGAACCCACAACCTAAGTATGTGCCCTGACGGGGAATCGAACCTGTGAGCTTCTTGTGCATGGGATGATGCCCCAACCAACAGAGCCCCACTGGCCAGGGCACTGCCACTTTACTTTTGAGATGGCCTTCTGGGTGACACCCCCTGCCGCCTTCCTGGTACCCTAGGACCAGAGCCTCATTGCCTTTTCCCCTGCTTTTTCCTGCTCTTCCTGTCACTTGGCAAGTCCTGCCCATCCTCAGGGCTGCACAGGGCCTCCGCCCTGACTGACCTGTCCAGGTGGGACTCAGGCTGTGGGGGAAGGTATGGTGTTCGTCCTCCACTTGCAGCTGTACAACCTTCGGCAAGCAGCTTAACCTCCCTGCCCCGCGGGGTCTTCATCTATAACGTGAAGTGGCTGTGCCCAGCCTCAGCGTGCCTGTGAGTCTGGTGTCCAGAGCACCTGGCTCTGATCCTCTGTGTGAGCCCCTGTGTCAGGACATGCTTCCCGTCCCTCAGGACAGTCATTTCACCTCTGACAGCCTGGGCTCGGTGTCCCTAAGCAATTACCGCTGTGCCCAGCCGAGCACAGGTTCTGTGTAATGCCAGGGCCTCACACTGCTCCATCTTACCTGGAAGGTACCTGGGTGCCAGTCTGAGCTGAGTCTCCACACTGCTGCATCTCGGGGCAGTCACAGCTGTGGTTCCTTGCTCTTGCCTGAGACCACGCTATCCTTCGGAGTGGGCAGTCACGGGGGGGATTTCTCCAGGCGGAGCGCAAAGCCCATCTTGGCCACTTACCAGCTGGGTGCACTTGGCCTCTGCACCTCTGTGCTGTGTCCTGTCTGAAATGTCCTGACAGGGCAGTCGTGAGGATCAGATGGGGAAGATGGACCCTCCGCTCAGTTGGCCGTGTTAACAACGGTCCATCCGGAGGACAGGGCCACGGCCTCCGCAGTGGCCCCACAAGCCCCCTCAAGGTTCACCGGAGAAAGCATTACTGGGGAGTGCTTGAGTGAGGCCAGAGTATCTCACCTTCCATGATCCCCTCTTCCCGTGCTCCTTCCCATCTTTACTCATTAACATGGCAGCAAGTGGTGGGAGTGCTAGGTCAGCCCCCCTTTGTCAGGCGTACCCTCACCTGTCCTCCCTTTCTGCAGGGCGCCCCGGAGGGCTCTGCCGTCAAGGACTTCGTGCTGAAGCACACCTTGCCCCTGGTGGGCCACCGCAAGCCCTCCAACGACGCCAAGCGCTACACACGCCGCCCTCTGGTGGTCGTCTACTACAGCGTGGACTTCAGCTTTGACTACAGAGCCGGTGAGGGGCCCAGGCTTGTGCGTGGGTGCTCGGGAGTGTGTTTGCTTTATGGCTTCAGGGCATTGTCCTGTGCTCCAGGCAGGGGCTAATGCCACCAGGCACAGGCCTCCTGGGCTGGTTGAGCTTTCAACCAAGGTCCCTTGTTCACAGAGGTGGCTTTTTCAGAAATGCTTTTCTCTCTGATGGAAGCCTAAGGCTTGTTAGAATCGAAGGGGCAGAATCTTAACCTTCATCTCTGAGGCTCACAATCCTTCATCCTGTTTCAGCCACTCAGTTTTGGCGGAGCAAGGTGCTGGAGGTGGCTAAGGACTTCCCCGAGTACACTTTCGCCGTGGCTGATGAGGACGACTTTGCCACGGAGGTGAGGGACCTAGGGCTCAGCGAGAGCGGGGAGGACGTCAATGCTGCCATCCTGGACGAGGGTGGGCGGAAGTTTGCCATGGAGCCTGAAGAGTTTGACTCTGACACCCTCCGAGAGTTCGTCAAAGCTTTCAAAAAAGGTGAGCTGCGTGTGGCCGGGCTTCCCCTGTGTGAGCCTCGGTGGGCTGTGGGTGCACCTGGCATCCAGGTGAGGGCGCTCTTCAATCCCATCACTTGTTCTGAGCCCAAACCTGCTTTGTTCCCTGGGTACCTCAGGGAGGATGGAGACAGAGAAACCCCTTTCTTTTTATTATTATTATTATTTTGTAATAGGGAAAATGGCAGGAAATGTCAAGGAGTCTTACTTAATTAAAACAGGCTTTTGGTGTTTGTGGAAATTTCTTTGAGGCATTACATGAATGTCTTTATTGGTCTGGTTGAGCCCATGGCCCAGTCCACAGCGCCAGCCTGTCATGGGCAGACCTCCTAGTTCCTGTCTGCCGCCCTGCTCAGTGCTTTTCCTCACGTGGCTTTGCAGCCGACTCTCCCTCTGTGATCGCCTCCCTGGACAGGACCCAGTGGCCCAAGAGGCCTGGGTGGGGCCACCTGCCCCCTCTCTGGCCTTTGCAGGGGCTGAGAAAGTAGATTTGAGGAGACTGGAAACCAAAGGGTGGGCTGTTGGAGACAAGGCCCTCCCCAGTCCAGGCAGGGCCGGGGCCTTCTCATCACTCACACTCTTCCCCTGCTTTCTTTCCTCCGCAGGAAAACTGAAGCCAGTTATCAAATCCCAGCCTGTGCCCAAGAACAACAAGGGGCCCGTCAAGGTCGTGGTGGGCAAGACCTTCGAGTCCATCGTGATGGACCCCAAGAAGGACGTCCTCATCGAGTTCTATGCGCCCTGGTGCGGGCACTGCAAGCAGCTGGAGCCCGTGTACACCTCCCTGGGCAAGAAGTACAAGAGCCACAAGAACCTGGTCATCGCCAAGATGGACGCCACCGCCAATGACATCACCCACGACCGCTACAAGGTCGAGGGCTTCCCCACCATCTACTTCGCGCCCAGCGGGGACAAAAAGAACCCAATTAAGTTTGAGGATGGAAACAGAGACCTGGAACACTTGAGCAAGTTTATAGACGAACATGCCACAAAGCCAAGCAGGACCAGGGAAGACCTTTAAGCTCTGAGGGCAGGAAGGCAGCAGGGACCCGACACACTGCGGCTTCTGTGGCCGGAGGCGAGCGAGCCGCCTGGCCCCCCCGCCCAGCGCAAGGGCAGTGTCGAGTTTTTTGCTGTTTTTTTTTTGTTTGTTTGTTTGTTTTGTTTTTTTAATTTTTTTATACTCAGATATTTCACCTCATGCTCTGAATGCTGAATAGATATGAATGATTCAGTAGATTTGCCCAGATTTTTACAGAGGATACATCTATTTTTATCCTTATTTGGAGGTTGATTTTTTTTTAACTTTCTACTTTCTTTAATATATTTCTTCGAAGCAGACATGTTAAATCTCTTCTGTGTGAATGTTTTTTCTTTTTCTTTTTTTTTTTAATTTAAAATTTTAAAAACTTTTGCCAAATCATGTTGATTTTTGCCCTTAATTTTGTTGTCGTCTGAGGAATTACTAGTTGGAATGCTTTCATTTTCTGTTTCTTCCTGTTACGGTGCAAAGTGAGAGCCCTCGCCAAGCAACCTGCCAAGGACCAAGCTTCGGACCGACCTCTGAGCTGCGCAGTCCAGACAAGCAGCGCCGAGCCGTGCGCCGTCAAAAGGGGACGGTGTCACCGGCCTTCCCCCGGGACCGCAGGACAAGGCGCTCTTCCCGGCCCCCAGGCCCCTCGAGCCAGGAACTGAGGTTCCTCCCAGAGAGAGAGGCCACCCACTCTTCAGAGGGCCGTGGCCAGAGGACAGGTGGCCTAGGCCACAGGCGGGTATTTTAGGGGATGATAAGGATTGGGTAGGCTGTTGTGATGGAATAAAAGAAATATTGAAAATGAACTGCATGACTATGTCAGGGGCACCAGCTCCACCCAGAGCCTCGGTGGAGCTGAAGGTGGAGAGACCCGACCTGGGTGGAACCTAACACCTCAACACGGGCGAGTGGGGGGGGTCACGGAGACCCAGGGGTGGGGCTTCGGTGGCCTCAGCTCTAGGCTGCGTGGAGGTGAGCAGTGACACATCATCAGGACGGGGGACGAGGATGGAGGACAAGGAACCTGCCGAGCACTTGTGTGGCTGGGCTGGGGGATAGGCCCGGGCCGGGTGTCGGACCAGCCCTTCAAAAGATGGTGGGGGTCTGCGTGTGGTGTGAGCCCCATTCCGAAGCTGTGCCCCCGGATGTTACATCTCCCTGCCCTGCCATCTGCTCCTGGTTTGACTGCAGCAGAGGTGGTGGGGTGGAAGCTGCTTGAGCTGGTGGCAGCTCTCGGCTGTGATTGGCATGATGGTTGCAGGTTTGGGAGGGGGGCAGCCAGCAGGCCTCCTGGAAGGGGCAGCGAGGTGGGCCTTTCTAAGTGGTCTGCTCTAACGTTGAGTCTGACTGAGAAGGACGGGCCTGTGGGAAGTGGTGTCTAGTCAGCTCTCAGGATCTCCAGTGGACAGGATGTCTGAACCCTCCTCGGCGTCCTCTTTCCTCTTCTATCGGGAGAAGGAGCACCCCACCCTGGGACTCAGTGCCAGAAGCTCATAGGAGGAGATGTGGGTGTGGTGCTCATGGCCTTTAACTGAGGCTTCTTTATCCAGCACCCGCAGGAGAATAGGAGCCCCTCTCCCCGGGAGCTCTGGGTCTGGTTGGGGAAACATCTGCGACGTGTGCACGAAGCCGTGAGGAGGAGACTGACCAGGAGGGAAGCCGGCATGGCCTCAGGAAAGCCCCTCTGTCTTAGGTGACGGAGCTGAGACCCAGGGGTGAGCAAGGCTTGAGCTCAGGAAAGTAGAGGAGTGAGGCTGGCTTCTCAGCGGCCCAGGGACCTGTGACCTCGCACTCCCTGATGTCTGTCTGAAATGCAGAATCTCAATCTTAAAATCTGCATTTTAAGAAGATTCCCAAGAGAATTATTGCATGGGCACATTGGCAGAAATCAAAATACACCCTCTTCTGAAATATAGTCTGAAGACAAAGTTCTCTGGGGAAGTCTTAACTGAGTGAGCGATCCCTATATTGACTGCAGAGTGTAGGCCTTCTGTGAAGGAATCTACCTGCCTGGTTAGGGACCAGGGAAGGGGATGGACAAGTAGATGAGTTACAGTTGGGTTTGCGCAGTGGAGAATGTATGTGCAGGGCCCAGAGGGGACTGTCACAGCCCAGAGCCTAGAGCAGCCTTTAAGGGGGCTGATGGAGGAGCCAAAAGGAGGAGGACGTGGGCTTTTTCAAGTGGAGGCACAGCCGAGGCATCAATCTGTAAGGTGTTTAAAAAATCCCAAGTAGAGGGACGCATGGGTGAAGGTGGGAATTGAGGCTGGAAGAGGTAGGGCCAGAGGCCGGGGGACTTTTTGTTCTAAGGGGTCTGGCCTTATACTAGAACTTGGTGGGGAAGTGATATCAGTGAGATTTTAATCATGAAAGTGACTGTTCACACTTACTGGCCATTTAGTAAAAGCCAGACCCTGTGTGAGCAGTTTGCTAGTTCATCCCATTTAAGTGATCTGTGAGGTGGTTTCTAAGTGTGTTCATGTTACAGTTGAAGGGGTGGGGGGCACAGGGCGGGTAGCCCCAGGTCTCATGTCTGCCAGGCGGCTCTCTGCAGCTGCAGAGACCGTTTCTAATAGAAGGTGGGTGGGCTCTGGCAGGGTGAGCAGTGGGGTCTCCAGGGCTCCAGCTGATTGGAAGTTGAGGGTGGATGAGTCCACCAAAGAAGACTGGGTGGCATCCAGATTTCCGGCTTGTTATTTAATTATGGAACGTTTCCATACACAAAGCCAAAGGACATAATATAACCAACACCCACCTGAGACAGTTACCAAATTTTGCTACATTTTCTTTATCTGTTCATCCGCCTTTAAATTTTTTAGAAGAAGGGAGAGGGATAGGGAGAAGCATCAGTGAAAGAGAATCATCAATTGGCTGCCTCCTGCACACCCCTTACTGGGGATCTAGTCCACAACCAAGGTACATGCCCCTGACCAGAATCAAACCCAGGGCCACACTATCCACTGAGTCAAACCGGTTAGGCTGCCCCTACATTTTTTAGCACATTTTCCTACAGAGTCACAGTACCTTATCACAGCTAAGAATAAACAAGAATTTATTCAGTACCCAGTCTATAATCGGATTTCCCTTATTTCCTCAAAAACACCTTTTTACAATTGGTCCGTTTGAATAATTGGCAAACAGTGTCGGCACTTTGTCTCTCTCTTTTTTTTTAATGTAATTATGACTCCTTTATTTATTTTATTTATTTATTGTTTTATTGATTTTTTTACAGAGAGGAAGGGAGAGAGAGAGCTAGAAACGTGATGAGAGAAACACCGACCAGTTGCCTCTTGCACACCCCCGACCAGGGATGTGCCCGCCCTTGACCAGAATCAAACCCGGGATCTTTTCAGTTCGCAGACTGACGCTCTACAACTGAGCCAAACCAGTTTCAGCAGCACTTCGTCTCTTAAGTCTTGTTCTAGAGCAGTGTTTCCCAAACTTTTGACATATGTGTATCCCTTCTATAATTTTTGTGACTCTGAGTACCTCTTGTACTCATGAGAACATAGAATTAGGTGCAGCTAAGCACGGTGCAGTGCATATCCCCACCAAACTCCAGTGCAACTCGTACCCCCATCAAACTCTTCCCATACCCCTGGGGGTACACGTACCACACTTTGGGAAACACTGTTCTAGAGCATTCCTGTCCCCATATCTTGAACTCATTGCAGAAATGATGAGGGTCAATTGGGTGGGTCGGTTCAGTTGTATTCTCCCTATCCCTCTCCCTTCTGGTCAAACCTGACCCTGCAGCCCATCACAGTGCACGTTAATAGCAAGTTACAGGGTATTTTACCCCGACTCTGATGCTGTCAGGTGGGGAGAAGAGATGAAGCCCTGAGAGGGTATGGCTACTGTAATTCCTTGATTGATATTTTAATAAACTAGAGGTCCGATGCATGAAATTTGTGCAAGAGTAAGCCTTCCTTTCCCCACTGCCGGCATCGGCTTCCCTTGCAGCACCCTTTGTCTGGAAGGACGTCCAGAAGGATGTTTGGTCTAATTAGCATATTATACTTTTATTATTATAGATCCGAGGTAGGTATTTAAAGTGTATCTGTGGGGCCCTAGCCATTCTGGCTCAGTGGATGGAATGTCGGCCTGTGGACTGAAGGGTCTCAGGTTCAGTTTTTGTCAAGGGCACATGCCCAGGTTATGGGCTCAATCCCCAGTAAAAGGCTTGCAGGAGGCAGCCCATCAATGATTCTCTTCATTGATGTTTTTATCCCTCTCCCTTCCTCTCTGGAAACAATAAAAATATATTGAAAAAGTAAAATACATCTGTGAGACCAGTACTAAGGCAAAGAACCCTCCTTCTTAGAGTCTGCCTTGTTACCCACATGACAGTTGGCTGTGCCAAGGGGGGGGCTGGGAAAGCAAAAGCCACGGGGAGCCGAAACCGGTTTGGCTCCGTGGATAGAGCGTCGGCCTGCGGACTGAAAGGTCCCAGGTTTGATTCCTGTCAAGGACATGTACCTTGGTTTCGGGCACATCCCCAGTAGAGGGTGTGGAAGAGGCAGCTGACCCATGATTCTCTCTCATTGATGCTTCTAACTCTATCCCTCTCTCTTCCTCTCTGTAAAAAAATCAATAAAATATATTTTAAAAGAAAGCCGCAGGGAGCCCCAGAGGGCCGTGCACATGGTAACAAAATACCGTGTGGACAACCCCATGGAGAACTGGAGATCTTGGGTCACCCAGGGTGAGGGCCTCCCCGATGCAGGTCCCCCTGGACCACAACTCACCCTGCATGGAGCTCAGTTCTCTAATTCAACACCTTCCCATGTTAGACTGTGGGATACTGTGGCAGGGAGAGGACAAAGGGCCGCTTGTTTCAAGGACTGAGAAAGGGGCCTTTTAGAAAGAGGTGGCAATGGCTTGGAGAAGGAATCATGTGAGAAAGGAGCTTTCCCGTCTCCCTGGGGTTTCTCATGAAGGAAAGTGGGCTCGGCTCTGATTGGATTGAAAGCAGACACCTCAGCCTT